TATATATATATATATATATATATATATACGAAGCTCGAGATAATCTTTACATTTCTTTCTTGTAATCCTTGATCTCAATAACTTGTGTAGGTTGTCCCAAGTGCTTCACATCTGACTACTTGGATAACCATACCCTTGCGTCAGACACTATCCTTACACTATTAGTGATCAGAATGTCACCCACGCACAGTACAAAAATACCACCATGCTTCTCATATACCATTGCTCATTTGGTTAAGTCCATTTCATAGACTTGATTTATCAACCAAATGTACCAAAACAACAAAACTTACCTCATTACACAAGTGGACCGTTTCAGTTTACATACTAGATGCTCTTAACAATCTACATGAACCTTTCCGGATGCTGCTCCTTGGATATTCCCACAAGAGCACGTCTTGATATCCAAAAGCCTAACTCATAGCCCGTGTGAGCGGCTGCAATCTATAATTCATATAGACTCAAGTATGGCAACCGACGAAAAAGTTAATTCATAATAGATTTCGTTTTTTTCTGAGTTTATTATTTCACAACAAACCTACCTCTGGAAGTCTACCACAATTTAATTACTGGCAATATAACTAATTGCCTTCTTGAACCGAAGCTAGTACCACTCAAATATTTATTATTTTGTCAGAATTAAATTCGTAGGTCAGGCTTGACATAACAATCCTTCTTGAGCTCACTTTGGAGACATCATCAAACTAACGCACACTGGGACAGTAATAATCGAACAAATAAGTTAGCATCATGCTTGCGGAATCCTTGACGACCCTGGTTGAAGCTTTACTACAAGGTATGATACTTTTCACTTCTATCTCAAAACATTGTCCAACCATTAAGAGACTATCAAAGAAAGCGTTGCTAGTTCCTCCATACAACAAATTGACTTTTTGATTCCCTATCTCCCTTACTAAATGACTTATAATATCAATATTTTGATAAAAAATTACTAGTTTAGAACCACCAAGAACGCATATGGTTTTGATCGGTTGAAAAAAACTATTACCATCCGAAGACTCTGATATATCCATCTATTGATAAACTAAATTTTCAAAATTTTGTGAGATATATGATTATGATGAATGACTCTCCATTTAAAGGAAAGTTTTACAAAAGCGATAAATAATTTCACTGTTTTCTTCTGACAATTGCAAATGACAGATAAAATATTAGGTTTTAAATAAATCTTATATGTCGGCAGCTATAAGATCTTCTGTAAAATTACAGTGCAACGTACTAAACTGCATTAGTATGATTTTTCGTACTAACAAGACCATTTTACAAACTTGATCTTCTTAAACAAGATCTTTGAGACTGTAACGTTCTTCTTCATTTTTTAACTGAATCCATAAAAACATAAGCTCAAGATGCACATACCCGTTGGGACGTATCTCAAGAATCTGGTGAATTGTTTGATGCATAAACTCCTTACTCAATACATTATTTATAAATGCTATTTTATCTTCTCGATTTTAGACACGAACCCCACAGATTTACATCGTGTGTCACAAGTCCATCGAGCGTATTTGAAGCACCCACCTACTCTTTTTGCTCTTCGTTACTCTTACCCATACCAAGAATATATTTATATGAATTTAGAAACTCACCAGACAATCGAACCTTTGCTTCAATCAACCATCAAATATCACTTGGAATACTATTATTCGTTACCACCCTAATCTTTCTAATCGAGATCGATATATCCTTTTTATGATATTTATTGAAAGAAATGGATAAAATTTAAGGATATTTGAGAGTGCTAAATCCATTTGTAAATTTGGACCATTGTTAAAGAAGATTAAATGAATTACCTGATAATTTATAGAAAAACATGATGCGCATGATATACGACTCTAGATTTGAACATTGTTCAAAAGTATGTGTGTCAGAAGATATGATATGATTCTAGATTTAAACAGTGACTAAAAGATTGTGTACCAGAGTCTACACTTAAAGAGCATTTATTGTAGCCGAAAGATGATGTGATATGTTTGTGAAATATAAATGTGTCACAATGAAATATTGAAATTTACCGATATTATTGATGATGATTTGCATAATTAACTTATTCTTTGAGATGAGATGCTTGTTCTCGATTGGTGAAAAATATTACTAGCCTAATATTTGTGAATCGATATTTGATCAATCTGAGTATGAAAGGAGTACGATATATATAGGCCACTACCCCTCCATGTGTGCTACTAGATATTATGGATCCACTAGATAAACACATGGTTGTGATTCGTAACCTGAGTTACGAGATAGTTTGATCAAATAATGGAAATATAAACGTAACCTGAAGTTACGAGATGGTTTGATAAAAGAATGTGTATATGACATGTAACCTGAAGTTACGAGATTGTTATGAAAGAATAAAAATAAGTGTCATATGAAAGCGACAAAACTAGTAATATACTCACTGATATGAACGAACTCTTGAAGAAAATATGTGTACATTACAAGTGATATGAGTTCAAAGTCCTCCTATTATAAGTTGAAATCGAGAACGGAATGGAAATTATATAAACTCTCTTCAAGAAATTCAATACTATAAATACAGATCAAGGATCTGTTAAGATGAGGGGAGAGAATAAGGGATTAAAATTTGTAAATGATATATGCATCACACTGAAAGTGTGCATATCATGAATGAATGATACTGATGGTGGTGAATTGTATCAAATGATATGACGGTGAAATAATACGTTGGAAGCGTTGGTATTGTGCAAATTGAAATTCCCCAAATAAGTGATGAAAGGAAATATATATACTATTGATCAAATATATTGATAATGAGATATCTCAATTTATTACGGGGAATAAAGGAAAATTGTCGAAACAAGCAAATGAATAGCGCTATAAAAGATATTGATGAGAATAAAATAAGCTAAAATGTGAATATTAGAAACCATATTTGGCAGTAAAACCATTGAAATCAATTGATGATGAGAATGAGTTCAAGAATGAAAGTTGCACAAAGCATGATATGACATATTATCATGAATATCTTCAGTATCTGAAAATCTCAATGAATATATATGATACTCATACAAATTATGGGAAGATTGTTATGATGAATATATGAAATCATGTGCTTAGGTTATGACCCATTGAGTTTTTCCCAACAAGGTTATTAACGAGGCAACAGTGATGGCGTATTCACATGAATAGTGTACTCTTTTTCTTTCTTTATGATTTTGTCTCACTGGGTTTTTCCTAATAAGGTTTTAAAGAGTCATATTCATGATATAATAAGGACTACTGGATAAATGATATAATTCCTCATGATGATAAGAAAACTCTGGGGTAGCTGTATTTTTTTTTCTTCGATAAATTTTTTTCCCACTGAGTTTTCTTGACAATGTTTTAATGAAGCAGCATGTGGATACTCCACTAAAGATGATCTATTTGAAAGGGGGGCAATGATATGCTTCAACAATGCTCAGGCTTTGTCCCACCGGGTTTTCCTCACATGCTGAATCAACGTTATCTGATGGCCATAAGATACACTTCAAGATGTGCAGATTGGGCTTTGTACAAATCAGTTATAACATCTTTAGGAAATAGTCATTCAATGGAGAATGTTATCAACCACACAATTATTTGTACAAGGGAATGACTATTTTGCCCTCGATGTATTTGTATAATTACAATTGTACCATCTAAAATTTTTCTATAAATAGGAGTTTCAATTATAACGAAAATTGACAATACATTCTCTCTTTCTCACTAGTTTTATAACAGTTGCCTCATTTTCTCTATAAAATCATAATCCCAACTTTTTCAATTTTTCCTAATTCATCTTCTCTTTATAAAGTCAGGCTGTTTTCTCCCAATACATCTCTTTATAAAGTTTAGGCTGACATCTGCTTGAGTTTTGGTGAGGAAACATACGTTACATTATTGTTTTCTAGTTTATGATATATCGATAGTTCGATACTTTATGATTGGAGAAATGGAATGCGACTAATTTCGAAAACGATTTTCAGGTTTTGGCATTTTACCTTTGACAAGAAAAGAAAAAAAAAATAAAAACTTAATCAAAAGCGCCAGAAAGTCCACGAGACATCACAAGGTAACCAAAAAAACAAAAGAAAGAAAGAGCAGAAAAATAAAAGGTGAAGAAAAAAAGGGTGGCCACTGGCCATCTCATGCATAGAGAGTCAGTCAGGCATCTGCATCTCCAGGGCCTACTTCACCAAGCAAATCATCATATGAGACGGGCACTCTTATACGATCATGAACCGACCCACATTTCATCTGTCCCTTTACCTCAACCCCCACACCATGTGACGGCTCACAGGTGACCTGCTCGTTGCTTTGGGAAGAACCTTCACTCTGCCGCTTCAATCCTTGCTGCTTGAATTGCTTCTGAAACGTGCATCAGTGCCAAAAAGTTAGCTGTCCACTTCTACGAACTCAACAACTTAACACCAAATCGTATATCAATTAACTAAGTGAAACCGCAAATGTAAAATTTTTGCTGATTCTTTTGACAACTTTTAAAATGAATAACTTTATGTGAAAAACCAAACTCACCTCAAACTCTTTCCCTTTCGTCATGATCTCCTTGTAAGCATTTGGGTCGCGTGCTTTGATGATGTTCCATAATATGCCACCACCGTTTCGGAGACGGCTGCCATCAGCCGTCTTTTGACCCCCGCAGGTCTGAATCGCATCGACCTACAAGTTTATTTTCCAGGTCAAGACTTGTTTTATACATATTTGATGTGTGGTATTTTATTTTTTTTCCCATTGTTCTTTTAAATTTCGTCAGATGAGAAAAGATGAAGCTTCATACACCTAAAAAATGGAAGTTGAAACATCAGTTTGGTCTCATACCAGGATATAGTTCATGTCACAACCAGTAAGATATTTCTAACTTAAATAGTATAATCATCAACAATAATTCGGACCTCTGGTAATTAGAAAGGGATGTAATTGAAATATTCAACAGGTATACAGATCACTGATCGTGTATTTTCTAGCACACGAAGTCCTCTTTTTACATTAATTTCCGATGTTATCTGTGGTCCTTAACAAGTCAAGCAGATCTTTAACTAAAGATTTTTGAAGTCTCAAATATTCAACCCCATCTGTAGCTACACAACGGCAGGCCTGAAATTCTATTAACCCACACACCCAATTTTCCATTTTCAGCCCAATTTTCAAGTATACATTTCTTTGGATAATTGTCTGGAGTTGAATAAGTTCTATTCATCTCAAACCAAGAATGCAAACAGTTTCTAAGTGTAACATAAAGGCAAATGAGTCAACCTGATTTAATAAAATTTATGAAGTAATTCATAAAGACCAATCTCAGTTGGAAGTTTCATGTGCATGATAGCAAGTACTTCAGCTTGAAGGATCTGTGATTGAAAGAAGACAATATTGAGAGTCACGACCAAGGAGGAAAAGCTCCTTAAAGCAGAGTAAGATGGTTAACCAGAGTCTCACCTAAGCACCTCTATTACAAAAATTGCAAAGTGAAAGTTTGATGTTCACCAAAAACCAATTATATCAGGGACAAGGGAGATTAGAGATCATTCAAATGTCAGATGAGATCAGCCACATTAACTTTATGCCACTTAGAAAATCGTACAAGTTATGCAAACAAACAAGACCCTGTGGTATAAAACAACAAAGCAAAAGGGATCTCAGCAATGTGATCTGAACTAAGACAAAAAGATTAAATAACTCTTGTTATTCTTTTAACAAACCTGCATGCACAGACGTACCAAAGTTCATCCAAAATGTGATGTATCTGAAGTAATGACTTAAGATCATAATCTGGGCTGGGATTTTGTGTATAACTGGATTCAAATGTGACAAGAAAAATAATCATGAGGAAAATTGTATTTCATTTGGAGAATTACACAATAGATAAAGCATTGCATGGGTCATGATCCAACCTATACTTTCAAGTCTTTTTATTGGAAATCATGGACCACACCGGATTGCAGGTGAAATAAAGCCCTCAAGTTAGTTATCTCATACTGTCAAACGCAAATTCTTATATAAATAGTTTAGCTATAGAATCACTCCAAACGACAAGAAATACTATCTTTACACCAGAAGTACTAACTTCACGCCACAGCATATTGTCAAATGAAACAAAGTTGGGCGTAATTTCAAATCACTATCATGGTTCATCAGTTGGGATATAGCATATCAGCTAACATAAAACTGTATGCATAAATTCAGAAATCTGACCTCTTTAACAAGATCACTCAAAGCTGATACACCAAGACAACCTACAGCAGTCCACATAAGATAATGCTTTCTCTCTCTCAATCGCTTGCATGCATCCATCACAAACCTAAGCATACAAATAACACAGTTGTCAAAACGTGCAAGTACGGTGTGGCAAATAGAAGCTAGAATTTCTTCATAAAAGATGAAGCAAAAATATAAAACTCCAGCAGATCCACACATTACATGTATTATTTTTTTTTTAAAAAAGTGCCTTTTATGGCACTACACAACAGCTCATATTCCAATAACCTGTATAAATCTGGATTTACCCTTGTAAAAGAATTTAGGAATAAGTATCTAACAGATTCAGATTCTTTCCAACAACCCACCACCTCATGTTAAACATGGATTAATTCATTCACGAAACTGAAACCAAGTAAAGCCGCAAAAATATAAAACCTGCTGATGTTAGTTACACTTGGACCCGTGCTACTACTCCTCTTTTGTTTGTTTTTCTTCTTCTTATTCCTACTCTTTCTCCTGCTAGTTTCTTGATTTATTTGATTACCACCAACATCGAGTTTCTCACTAGCTTCATTTTTTGAAACCATTTCGACTAATTCACCCTCTTCGACATCAATCATTTCGACATCCCGAGTATCCTCGAAGCTTTCATCATCGAAAAGTGTGTCGAGTAAGCTCTCTCCTCCTTCCATTTTATGGAAAAAGCTGCAATATGCTTTGAGGTCAAATAATTTCCAATAAAATCAAGAAAAAACATATATTTTCAAATACGAAAAACAAGGAGATAAAGCACAACCAGCACAATTCCTATTTCTCTAATTTTATACATGCACATGCATAAATTGGATGCTTGGGGGTACCAGACCATACTAAACCTTAGGAGCATCTGTTTGTGAAATGCGGAATACAGAAAAACACAGACCCATATTCTCCAACAGAACATAACATTCAAGAAACATGCTTTAAATATTTCAATGAATGATACTCCACAACGAATCCCACCTAGAATAATTGTAGCCCATAAACAACAGAACATAAAATGCACCTTCTGCGTATTCCAGTTCGAAAAAAAAAAAAACCCTATTAAGCATCGACAATCAAAACATTATAAAGAATTACAAAAAATCCTCATCACGGTGGTGTTGCTCAAAAACAAATAAAAATAGGGCTATCAACTCACTATAATTTCGAAATAAATACTTCAGCGGAAATTCAATTCGATCACAAGGGCAATTAGGGTTGAAATGACAGGGAAATTGGGACTAACCTGTATGGATCCTAGACCGTGCAACCAAGTTGGCTGTGACGGCTGCGGTGTTGAGTCAGGCGAACGGAAATGAACAGTGAACTGCTCGCCGGAAGCGTCGAAGTTTTGTTATGTTGTTTCTTCTCACGCTTTTGTCTTACGCCGTGCTCCTGTATTGAGGTTTTGAGCTCAGTGGTTTATGGGAGCTGAAACAAACATATGCGGCACTGCAAATATGCGTAGTTTTTATGGGCTTTGCATTGGGCCGACAATAATAGCATCACATATTATGGCTTTTAACCTGATTTATTGGTTTTTTTTTTTTTTCCGAAACGATAGATTTTGATCTATTTGTTCGTTACCATTTTTTCTATTTTTACTATTTATAGATAATTGATAATTGATTTGTAGTTTATTCATGTCATTAGAGTAGATCTCATGCCCTACACCGAAAAGTAATATTAAAGTTATTTTTTAAAATTAAATATTGGAGTAAACAAATATTTTAAGGTTATTTTTTAAAAGTTAAATGTTAGACAAAACAATCTTATTTAGTTATTTTTAAAAATTAATATTGGACTAAATAAACATATTAAGCAGTTGAATAAACTTAATAATAATTTTAAGGTAATTTTGTACGTACCTTTTCAAGGTATACACACAAAATATTGGTATGTATATTTTTTGAGATCAGACACAAATCTAAAAGTATTCCCTAATTTAAATTTCTCATTCATTTATTTATGTATTAATTGCTTAAATTTTAAAAATATCATTTACTTTATCAACTTGACCAAACTAATGTAAAACGATATATTAATGAGATTTTATAATTTATTTTCTTAATCAATTCTTAAAAATACTAATTTTATATTAATTTCAAATGTTAATGTGTCTCAAAAAAGCGAGTGATTGTCTGCATCTGTTTTATAAATTTGTTAGAAATTAGATTAATAAATATTGTACTGTTTTGAGATTTTTTTTTTTTGAAATACATATCTTTTTCTTCTTTACCTCAATTTTCACTTGAAAAAGTATGTACACATGAAAGAGAAATGTGAGGGAACTATGAAGAGCGGGAAAGAGTGAAGAAGGAACTAGACCAAGCATACTTGTCTAAAGAGGAATTCTGACAACAAATGGCTTGAACTCTATGGTAAGGCAATAACACGAAATTTTTTCATGCACTTATTCTGCAAAGAAGGAAGGTCAATGCTATTTCAAGGCCTGTTGATGCTCACAATAGAGTATCTAATTCTCATGAGCAGATAGAGAAGTGTATCTGCAATTTTAACAATCACTTTTTTCCAATTTGAAGGATCAAGAGGGGAAGCAGATTGTTACAACCACTGTTTTAAATACAGGTATGTACAAGTCGGTATTATCGGTAATACCGGTGGTTCGACCGGTATGGTTACCCTCTAAATACCGTTTTGGTCAAAATACTAGTTTATACCGACTTCATACCCGAAAATACCAGTTTTACCAGACGATACTGGCCAAAATGCCGGTTAAAATACCGGCTATACCCATTTTTTTAGAAAACATATTTTTATAACTTTTTTTTATTAATTTATTTATATAAATAAAACTTCAACACTTAATTTTAATATATTTACATTGCTATTAGATTTTAGTTAATTTTAGTATTTATTATAGTTAGTTTTATACATTATTTATATTATAATAATATATTGATTTAATATTTTAAAATTTGTAAAATAGACGGTAAAATTGATTGAACCAGTTGAACCGCGTACTGGTGGCTCGTCCGATATGATCACCGTTACCGTATTTAAAACATTAGTTACAACTCATTCCTAGAACTTTTACAGTATAGATGAACTCTGATGTGGTGGCAAAGGCCAAGGAGAAGGAGTTAAAGAATGCCTTGTTTTTCTGTACCCAATCAAAGCTCCTGCAGAAGATGGTACTCCATTTTTTCCAGCATTTTTTGCCTTAATTAAAGAAGATATATGCTCTGTAGTCTACAGTTTCTTTGAATTTGGTATGCTATTAAAAGGTTGGAATCACATTATTATTACTCTCATTCAAAAGTGTTTGAATTTTAAGTCAATTCATGCCAATTAGTTTATGTGGAGTGTCTTACAAAATACTTGCCAAAATTTTAGTTGTTCGAATCAAAGCTTGTTTGCATTGATGGGTAAGTGGTAGCCAATTTACTTTTATACCTGGAGCATGTTTGTTCGCCAAGACATGATTAGATAATTTTAATCTTTGGACACAATATTGGGGTATAGAGATAAAAACTATCGTGTGTTTGTTTTACTAGATTCATGCAAGTTGATATTTGCTCCCCC